GTTGGCTTTCCTTGCAGCCCTCCTTTTTCTCTAATTTTGGTCTGCAAACTTAGGTTGTTAACCATCCAGAAGACAAGCTTATTGTTATTACCATACAACCTAGGCTGCTAAGCTTAACCTCACTATCTGTGGATCTGGGGATTGAACCACAGTAACCTTAGCCTGACTGCTCTGTTTAAGCAGTCTCTAAACAACTGAGCTAATGGGCAGGCCCCCACCATATAAAAAGAAAGGAAAAAGAAAGATAGATAGATAGATAGATTTTCCAAAGCCATTTTAGCCACACATGGTGGCACATTCTTATAATCCCAGTGCTTGAGAGGCTGTGGTAAGAGAAGTGCCACAACACTGAGAACTGCCTGGGGTACATAGTGAATTTCAGGCCAGCATGAACTACACAGTGAGACCCTATCAAAAAAGACAAGCAAACTGGAGCTGGTGAGATAGCTTAGTGGACTAAAGCACCCACTTAGGCAAGCTTAGGCAAGCGCAGGGATGTGGTTCAATCCCCAACACCACATGCCATGCCAGCCCCACCTCCCGGGCGGGCTGAGCCAGCAGAGTGGGCATAGTGGCATACACCTATAATCCCAGTGCTGGGAAGGCTGAAAGCAAGAGGATCACTATGACTCCGAGCTGTATAGTAAGGCCCTGCAAAAACCAAATACATATAAAAAATAAAAAATAAAAAAAAAAAAACAAAGCCTCGTATATGTGCCTACAATCCCAGCTACTCAGGAGACTGAGTCAAAAGGATCACTTGAGCCTAGTAATTCAAGGCCAGTCTGAGCAACAGGAAGATCTCATCTCAAAAAAATGAGAGAAAAAGGAAAGGATAAAGCACTTGCCTTGCATGCATAGGGCCCTAGCTTTAATTTTAAGTAACATAAAAAGGTAAACAGGCTGGGGAGATGGCTCAGTAGAATAAGCGCTTCCCTGGCAAGTGCAAGGGTCTGAGTTCAATCTCCAGTTCTGGAAAAAAACAAAGATAGATAATTTTATTTTTAAAATTATAAAATTTTACTGTAATTGGGCCACTTCAATCATTAAAATCCAATGTAGACTATAGCTAAGGCCATTTTTCTTAATCCATTTTAAATAAATGTCATCTTTGTCAATATACAAGGCCATATACCTACCACTAAGAGACTTTAATATGCTTACACAGAAAGTATGTTTTATCTTCTACATATCCTCATCAGCCAAAAAAAATTTTTTTTCATTGTTTTTGGTTTTTGGGGGTTTTTTGGCGAACCAGGGATTGAACTCAGGCCCTTGCGCTTGCCAGGCAAGCACTTGTTCTACCAAGCCATCTCCCTGGCCCCATCAGCCAAAATTATGTTGAGGTCAACTTTCTAAAGCCTACATTAAGGAATACAGAGTTAGTGGAGAGATACAATCATTAATAATTTCTTTTTTTTGGTGGTACCAGGGATCAAACTCAGGACCTTGCGCTTGCCAGGCAAGCACTTATTCCACTGAGCTATTTCCCTGGCTCCAATCATTTTAATAACAATCATTTAATAACTTTTAATGACTCTGACATCATTAATAAGGCTAGCTGTTATCTTTTCACTCCCTTACAGATACAGACTTCAGCCCTCCCATTTCATTGTTATATACAAATAAAAACAGTGGCTATTTAAGGTCACATTCAAGCCATTAAAAAACCAGACAACTAAAAATTATCTAGTACAGAAAAATATCTTAAAATATGTGTATAAAGATTTCAATAAACTACACAACTCTCTTCTATACTCAGAACTAAGAGAATACAAGGAAGACACCAGTCAATAGGCCAAAAATACTCACCTCAAAGTCAAAGTATAATCTCCCTGCATTTTTGTTGAAGCATCACGAACCAAAAAGGTACCATCTGGCATGTCCCGTAATTTGTCGTTTACTTCCTCCCTGAAAAACAGAATTAAAGGAAAAATTTTTAAACAAAGTTTGGCTGTCTTCACATGTCACTGTTATTGTGAGCTGGAAGACGAGTGCATCTAAATTAAGCTGTAGAGTCACGGAGGCCTTCTGACCTCACGCAGTCCTCCCTCATACATGCTCTTCATGATTTCAATTTTGGTATCATGCAATCTAAGGTAAGGCTACTTGATTTTTAAACTTTCTGATTTCCCACATCTATAGGGGACAGTGCTTCCAATAAGCCTTAGGGTTTTCTTAGGCAGGCCTGAACTTGCACAGTTTCAGGAAAAACCAGCAGCTGTTTAGAAAGGTTATATTTAAGCAACAGTACCAGCTGTTTGAGACCAGTGGAGGGAAATTCACTGAAGTGCAGTCTTTCACTATGACATTCCCTAATTTGAATTTATACTGACAACAAATTCTTTCTAAAGAGTTGGCTTAGGACTTTAAGGAACAAAACCGTAGCAATCAAAGGAAATGGTAGCACATGAAAAAAGGCCCTTGAATTACAGTAGAACCACATAATCTCAAAATATAAATTCAAGTGGCACTTAAATATAATAGATTCTTTTATTTTAAAATGTTCTGATCAATTTGAATATAAAAAGATCAATTTGACTATATAAAAGTTGTGCTGGTCTGCACAGCTCATCAAGGCCCTCTATATCCTCTTCACAACATTAAACATAGAATTACCAAATAACCCAGAAATTCCATGACCTGGTAATCAAGTTAGCTTCTGAGTGTTGCGGCACTGACTGTAATTTCAGCATTTGGGAGGCTGAGGCAGGAGCACTGTCCCAAGTTCAAGCCTATGTTGGGCTTCATCATGAGTTCAAGACCAGCCCAAAGTACACGGTGACATCCTGTCTGTGTC